CCCATACGAAGCAGCTGCTACGTGGTGTTCTGAATGTGTTGATGGTGAATGTATATAGTGTGTGACAGTGTATAGTGTGTAAATAGATTGTATATATACACAAATTAGCATGATACATAGTAAATATGTGCTGCATATGTGTACACAAGTTTCATGCACGTAACACAGTGTCTACGGACAGTACGGATGTTGTACTGCGATATTATAGTGTACGTGTTCATTATACATTGGATTGGCACATAAAAACAATGAAAATGTATTTGGAAAGGTGCGCAAAAAATGAACGAAAATATATTCGCGGCAACTCACGCGCCCCGCCCCGAGCGCCCCACCGCCCCTGAGAGCTTACGGCACGGGCGCACGGGGAATGATGACGTCACGCCCCAACTTCCGGACCCCATTGCAGCCAAAGTATGTACAATTTCGACTTTTTTTTTACATACCCATAATGAGGGAAGGGTTTTTGACACTTTAAAAAGAAAAAATAATTTTTTCCAGAGAATTTATTTCCTGCGCACTGCGGGGGTGTCACATTTGGAGGCAACGCAGTTAAGGGGTTAACATTAAATTCCATTTGCCAAGTGGTGCTCCATATACTTATTTTGTCCAGGTCTTCTTGAAGGGCATGACAGTCATCTAAATTCCTTATCCTTCCTATTATCTTAGCATCATCAGCAAACATGTTCATATAATTCTGTATACCAACTGGTAGATCATTTATGTACACAATAAACATCACTGGTGCAAGAACTGAACCCTGTGGTACTCCACTTGTGACATTTCTCCATTCCGATACATTGCCTCTGATTACTGCCCTCATTTTTCTATCAGTCAGAAAATTTTTCATCCATGATAGAAGCTTACCTGTCACCCCTCCAATATTTTCCAGTTTCCAGAACAACCTCTTATGTGGAACTCTGTCGAAAGCCTTTTTTAGGTCCAGATAGATGCAGTCAACCCAACCATCTCTTTCCTGTAATATCTCTGTGGCTCGATCATAGAAACTGAGTAAATTCGATACACAGGATCTTCCAGATCGAAAACCATACTGTCTGTCTGATATTATATCATTTCTCTCTAGGTGTTCTACCCATTTAGTTTTGATTAGTTTTTCCAATACTTTCACTATTACACTTGTCAATGATACAGGTCTATAATTGAGGGGGTCTTCCCTGCTGCCACTTTTGTAGATTGGAACTATGTTAGCCTGTTTCCACCCGTCTGCTACGATTCCTGTACACAGGGATGCCTGAAAGATCAGGTGAAGTGGAATGCTGAGCTCAGATGCACATTCTCTCAGAACCCATGGTGAAACGCCATCTGGGCCAGCTGCTTTGTTCTTACCGAGCTCCTTGAGCATTTTTTCCACTTCGTCTCTAGACACCTCTATGTGTTCTATGTTGTTCTCTGGAATTCTTATTGTATCTGGTTCCCTAAAGATTTCATTTTGTACAAACACACTTTGGAACTTTTCGTTTAGTGTTTCACACATTTCCTTTTCATCTTCCGTGAATCTATTTCCCATTTTCAACCTCTGAATATTATCCTTTACCTGCAATTTGTTGTTTATGAATTTATAGAATAGACCTGGTTCTGTTTTACATTTGTCCGCAATCCCTTTTTCAAAATTTCTTTCTGCCTCTCTCCTCACTGCCGTGTAGTTGTTTCTCGCATCTTTGTATCGCTGGTATGTTTGGGGGTTCGGCCTCTTCCTGTATTGATTCCATTTTTGTGTCTTTCGGTCTCTAGCCCTCTCGCAATTTCTATTGAACCAATCCTGTTTCCTAGTTCTGCATCTCTGTTTTGGTATAAATTTTTTTGTGCCTTTATCATATATTTCACAAAACTTGCCATACATCTCATTCACTTCCTTGCCTAGCATCAAGTCTGTCCAATTATACTCACTAAAAAATTTCTAAGGTCACCATAATGTCCTCTCCTGAAGTCTGGTTTTTCAACTGCTTCAACCTCCTTATTTTCTTCCAGCTTATAACGCATTGCATACTTTATTCCCAAAAAGACATGGTCACTTTTACCCAAGGGAGGAAGGTACTGAATGTCAAATATCTCTTCCTCCTTCCTGGTAAATATCAAATCTAGCATGGAGGGAACGTCCCCTTCCCTCATCCTCGTAGCTTGTTTAACATGTTGATACAAGAATGTTTCCAGGATGAGGTCTACAAATTTACAGGTCCAAAAATCTTCTGTTTTAGCTTCATATGCTTCCCAGTCTATGGATTTCAAGTTGAAGTCACCGACTATCAACAGTCGTGATCTATCGTTATCCGCTCCCGCTATAATCTCTCTCATTATTGTTATAAGACCTTCACGTTTACTATCTAGCTCCTCCTTTGACCATGTGCTGCTTGGCGGTGGACTATATGCATTTATCATCATTAGTTTATCATCCTCATAACAGATCTCTAGTGCTATTATGTCAACTTCTTGTGGATTGGCAATCATTATTTCCTTCACCTTTAGGTGTTCTTTTACCAGCACAGCAACGCCACCGCCTTTCCTAATTTTTCTGTCCCGTCTCCAAATTGAGTAGCCCCTTGGGAATATGACCTCATTTAAAATTACATCTTCAAGTTTTGTCTCCGTGAGTGCAACAATGTCTGGTGTCTGCAGCTGTATTACATCACTTAACTCCAGTATCGATTACATCACTTAACTCCAGTATCTTCGATCTCACTCCATCTATGTTGGTGTATGCAATCTTCAGGAACTTGTTCCCCCTCTCCTTATTCTTCACTCCCCCTCTCTCTATTGATTTTGTTGGTTTGCCTTTATGTTCCACTTTACTGGTTTGCCTACCCCTATCACTTTGTAGAAAAAAGAATTTATTTCTTCTTCATTCCTGCTCTCATTTAAATGTTTTGCCTCGGCGAGGTTCAGTTTCAGCTTCTCTCTGTCTTCTTTTGAAAGATCTCGTCTTAACGACCACCCTTTCCCATCCTCATCCCTTTGCAATTTTCTAGCATTCCTTAGTACTTCTTCCATCTGTTTGGCACCGTTTAGGGTGATCCTCAAAGGTCGATCTTTCCCTTTTACGTACCTGCCTATTCTCCTGTAATCGCACACATTCTCTCTGTTTGTAAGACCTTCCACGAGGCCAACAATTTTATCTACTACTTTAGCTTCTTCTACAGCTCTTTCTGACCTAGATGTTATCGCCTTTTCTTTGCAGCCAAAAATGATCAGGGACTTACTCCGATCAACTGTGTTTTGCACCAACTTCGGGTTAGATGCCAATTCTTTCCTCACTTCTAGCCTAATGTTTGTTTTATCTTGGTTGCTGCAGTGTTTGACTTCCTTTACTGCTTCTTCTATTTTTTCCTTCTCCTTGGCCACTTGTGCATAAGTGAGTTGCATATCTTTCTTGCACTGTTCTATTCCCTGTGTAACTTCCTCCATCTGTGCTGACAAAAGCTGTTTCTCCTGTTGAATTTCCTTGCCTAACCTATTGTAGTCATTTATGTTTAAATTTACTTTAACTTCTTCCAAAGCTATTTTTAAGAGTTTATTTTCTTCTTCCATGGCTTTGCAATTTGTTTCCAATTGATTCTTATCCTTGCGCAAGTCTTTCACTAAACCCTCAAGACATAAAACTTTGCTATTCAAATGGTCATTACTTTCTTTCAATTTACTAATTATTTCTACATGAGAGTTCACTATGGTATCTAAATTTACCAACTTGTTATGTAGACTACTAATATCAATGCTTTCTTCATTGAATCCCTCAAAATCAAGCTCTGTTTTGTTTTTCCCCTTGCCAGTGGCCATCTTGAATGTTCTTCTCTGCACTGTAAACACTAGGGCAACTTTTTCTCATCCGATTTTTCACTTCCCTTAGCACTTTCCTGTTATCTCACCTATTTTTCAAGAGCACTATACCTTTATGTTCTCTGGGACACCACTCACTACCATCAACCTGTACTACAATACTTAGGATTGTTGAAATATGCTGGAGCTCCTCTGCTGCAAGTGTTGACCCTAGGGGTGTCACCTTTTGAATAATGGACATTCTTTGAGGCTGGTTGAATCTCTTCCTGCGTGGGACCTTACAAAGCGATCTTTTCATGACTACCTTACAAATTGATCTTTTCCTATAATCTTTTCAAGACTACCTTACGCTTTACAAGCTTGGCTACATATCACCTACAAGTACTAAAGCCAAGGGTGTATGTGAGTGCGTTATTTGCAAGCACACAGAACAAAGAAACATAAAGCGAAAATCTATCTGTACCTGGTGCAACAAGAGCAAAGTACTGTGTACCATGGACTACTTCATTGATTATTACTCACTTCTGAAATACTGAGTGTGTAATACAGTGTGTTACTGTGTAAACAGTGTGTGAAACTGTACATCTTGTAATTTTAGTGAATTTTTAACAGGTAATATTGCGACAATAAACATTTATTGTGGACACATTACTGACACATGTATCACAGTTCCATGGAACATTATGAACGTTCTTCTGTATACATATTGTAAAGAACACAAATATGCATCATATACGATAAAAAACAAATAAAACCACATTGGAAATACATAGAACAAATAATTGAAAATATATTTGTGGCAACTCCTGGTGCTTGAATGACCTGTGGGATCGTCTCTGGGCGTGTCACACACGAGCGACCAGTCCCTGATGACATCACAGCGCACCTTGTCCATGTCCCCACAGCCAAAGTAAGTGGAATTTGGTATTTATTTTTACATAGGCATGTTCAGGGAAGGGAATTTATCGTTTTACAAAGAAAAAAGAATTTTTGGGGAACACTTGATTTCATGCAAACACTAAAAGACATTTGTTAATGTGTTAAACTCCTAAGGAATTTCATATTCTATTTTCTTGATGTCTCCCTTATTTTGTGCATCCCAAGTTTAGTGGGACTTCTCTTCCCTTGTGGTGATGAATATTTGTATGTGGTGGCAGTGGTACATGTAGGGTTACTTTGAGAAAACTAATTTTAAAACAAAATATTTCACTTACTTTCACAGTTTTTAAGAGTAATGGCATCGCCATAATATCCAGGAGCACATCGTTCACAAGAATTGCCATATGTATTATTGAGGCAAACCAGGCAACGTCCAGTGATGTCATCACAGGCATAAGGATCTCTTGTATCTATGTTTTCATTGCATTCACAGGTTTCACACCTATCACCTGAAAAAATTAGCCAATATGATTATGACTTTGACAATGATTGAAATGGGTTAAAATGGACAACTGTGAAGCAGAAATTTTAGTAAATGAGAGTGAAAAACTCCAAAACTGAATGTAATAAAATTATTCTTTCTAAATGGTCCCTTGATGGCTCCCTAAACTATTCACTTGACACTGGCAAACACTGGGGACAACACCAGGCTCAAAGGTTCACAAGTGACAACTAATAGCCAGGATGAAAATCTTGTCCATCTCAAAAGAAGCCAAGGGAATTTGGTACTAGATCACCACATTAATTCAAAGAAAAGACCCAGCATTGAATGTAATTAAATTCCTCTTTCTGGTGGGTTCCAGGTGGCACCCTGTTGCTAGCTGCTCTGGAGAGCTCCACACCTGTCAAGTTGCACAAGGCCCTTGCATGTCATTAATATTAATACTGGAGACCAGAAGCCAAAACCTGGTCCCTTCATAAAGAGCAGAGGATATTAGATCACTCTAACCAAGAAAATAACCACTAGAAGGTGAGGGCAAGATACAACAGACAAACAGGCAACAATAAGGCAAAAGAAAATAAACAAAACAAAATACAATCCAGTCAGATCGTTCCACAACTAATTCCCTTCCCCAACACTAGGTGGCAGTATCAAAAACTGCTAATTCAAGTAAACCAAAGTATCTGAAAGGGACAGGAGGCTTCAGGGAGCCACCTTGGACCCAAGAGAAACAGACGTCAAAATATTCAATGATGTGTTTCTGGGAGAGCTCCATGGGTGGCTCTTTTGCTGGGGACAAGGGGGACATAAGAGGAGGCAGAGGAAAGCAAAAGCCAGGAACCCCTAAACAAGGAGAAGAGCAACACCAAGGAACAGAAAACAGAGCAGACAAGGTCGTAAGCACTCAAGAGAACACCAGCCTGAGGGCTACTTGCAGGCCCTCAGTCGTTCATCCAAAATGAAGGACTTAGCAGATGTCTCAAAATAAAAAAAATGCCCACCATGACCAAAGGAACATATGTTCTTATGAACAAAAACCAGTCCTCCCACAAAACAAAACAGACCAAAGATAAACAAGGAACAGGTGAAATGAACACCTAAAAGATGCAGATGGGCCACCACAACCCATGCGAGGTGTGTGAACATGTGAGGAACCTGCTTCAACCTGAATGGGAGACAACGAAAGTGATATCCGAGACGTCCACAATAAAACCAAGCCAGTCCCTGAACCCCAGATGAATCGGGATGCGCCAATACGTGTCCTTGAGGTCCAGGGGACACCATCCAAGAGCCTGGCTCCAACAGAAGCCAGACTTAGGACAGAGTGGTCATCCGAAAGGAGGGGCAAGAAACCCCAGGGGTTCAGACAAATCCAGAATGAACCACAAGTCCACACAGTCCTGGTTCGGCACTGGAAACTGGTGGGAAACCCACCTGAGAGACGTTGTCATTTTGACCACACCCAATGCACCCACTCCAAGATGACCCGACAGAGGGCTGTCGCCAACACAGGAGAAGAGGCCTGCCCCGCCAGTCGTGAATCCCCCGAAGGAGGAGGGGCCATCCAATGCTGCCGCAGGCCGCAAGAAATGACCCGAAATGCCCACAAATTGCAGCTTATCATTGCAACTTACCAGGAGACCAACGCAGATGGGAGACTAACAATGAAGTCACCTGCGCCCCATACAAATGGTGATAGACTTGAGTCAGAGAGACCAGACGTGAAGACTCGAGGAGAAGAGCAAACCAGCCTCGTAACGGCCAGGACTGATCTTCTGAAAGAGGCAGAGCCATTAGAAGACCTTTGGGTTTAGACACAGAGCAAGCAGCACCTAAAACCAAGGCTGAGCCGGCAATCAAGAGGCCAAGAGGACCACTCTGCCCTGTAAGTCTCCAAGCGAGCCAGGACTTGGAACAACAGCTGAACCGGGAGGAAGGTAACAGGTAACTCCACCTCGCCCAGTCCTGCCTGAAGGCATCGACCCCGATGGCCTCGCAGTCAGGGAAGGGCACCACATATACCGGGAGATGCCTCGACAACGCCGACACAAAGAGATCCACTTCCGGAGGCCCAAACGTCTGGCAGAGCCAACAAAACGAGTTGTTGTCGACCATCCATTCCATGGACAGGGGAATGAACTGGGACAGGCCATCCGCCAGGACATTGGACACCCCCCGAACATGAACCGCCAGGAGAGCCAAACCCCGAAAACTCAGCAGATGAGTCACCCGAAGCGACCAGTCCCCAAGAGCCAAGGACTGCATCGAACCCCTGCAGTTCAAGCAATGAACTACTGGGAACATTCCGATTGGAGCCGGACCGTCGATATGCGAGAGACCTGAATTCTCCACAGCGACATCCACACAGCGGCAAACTCCCGCACCATGCTGTGAGCCTAACGGAGGGATGGAACCCACCGCCCCTGGCCGGCCTGGTGAGCACTGGTCACAAAGCCCCAGCCACAAGATGACGCATCTGTGAACACATCGAGGAAGGGCTATGGTAGGCGCCAAGGCACTGAACCCCAAAAAAACCAAAGAGGAAGCCGGTGATGCAGCAATCGACGTACAGCCCCTGGAGGCATAACCCAGTAGTCGCGAGAGAGGTGGAAGGGGCGTCCCTGAATGAACCATAACAGCCGATAAGGCCACACCTGACATGGCAGATAGACCACCATGGCAAAGTTCAGGCTCCCACACAACCCCTTGAGCAACCGCCGTGTTACCTGGGAGCCCCTCAGAAACAGACGAAGGTAAGAACGCAGATGAAGCAGAGCCGCCGGAAGAAGAGACAAGGAAGTGGTCCGAGCGTCCCACACAAGACCCAGCCAAGACTGAACCTGAGAGGGAACCAGACGAGACTTAAGCCAGTTCACCAAAAACCCGAAACCGGCGGTGAGCTGGGAAAGAACCAAATCCCTGGCGAGCAGACATGCGAACAGGATGGGAGTCCAAACCAGCCAGTTATCAAGGTAGGCCAGAATCTGAATGCCTAACAGATGCAGACGGGCCACCATGACCCGAGTAAGGCTTGTGAGTACACGATGCGCCAGAATCAGGCAATTAAAACAGTAACCTTGATGTCCAGCCACAAAACCGTGCCAGTCCCTAAACCACGGATGAATCGGGACGTGCCAATATGCATCCTGGAGGTCCAGGGACACCATCTGAGCACCCGGCTCCAACAGAAGATGGACCTGGGACAGAGTAGTCATCGGAAAGAAGGAGCAATAAACCCACAGGCTCCAACGAGACAAGTCCAGAATGAACCGGAGGTCTGCACAGTCCCGTTTCCTGACCAGAAACAGGTGGGAGATCCACCTGAGGGATGAGGACGTTTTGACCACACCCAAGCGAGCCCACTCCAAGACGACTTGACAGGGCGCAGGAGATGAGGCATGCCCCTCCTGCCCCGAACCCCCAGAAGGAGGCAGAAGCAGCCGAAAAGCAGGAACGAAAGGGAGGGGGCCCCACTGGTCAAACCCAGAAGCTCCGGCAGGAGGACTAGGCTCGATTGCCTCAGCCGCCACTCTGGAAGGGGACTCCACCAAGACTGCCCGAGTCTCAACACCAACTAAACCCTGCCCTGACTCCGAAACCCTCAGATGCTTCGGAGCTGGAAGCAAGGGGGGTGAAACCGGATGGACAACAGAATGGGAAGGACAAAGGGGAAGGGAGGATGGAACCAGAGCTCAAGCAACTCCCACCCCTGAGACCGGGTCTCTAAAACCAAAACATGGCAGTCTCGGGACATCCGGGGAAGCAACTAACCTAGCACCTTGCAGCAACCAAAAACTAGCATGCAACACAGCTGCCACCTACACCCTAGCATGATCAGTAGCTTAGGTGAACTGGAGCATGTACAGACAACAAACATTGTACGACTCCGGGTCAAAAGAATCACCATCCCAACAGGCAACATGGCAGAGGCAGAACTGGTGATTGTCCCCCCAGAGACAAGGGGAAAGAGCAACCTTCCGACTCGCATAAAGCGAGAGGAGACTCAAGGGTCACAAGGATCGCCCAAGACTACCAAACACTCTGCTACTAGCTGAACCCCTGGGATGTGTTTACTCACAGGAGGCCTAGCAAGGGGTACCACCAATGACACAAAAACTGAGAATAGATATAATGATAGATATATATATACACCCCAATACAGAAGGTGGCACCACCGAGGCAGACCCCTTCACCAGGCAGGAAAACAAAAACAAAAGCAAAACCCTGCAAGAGGACAACATACCCGAGTGGAACAGAGCCAGCCACTGCAAGAGGTGAACACTAGCTGTGCAGTACCCCGTGCACTTACCAGTGTTGAAACTACCCCTACCCAGAGGCAAACATGGGCAACAAAGACCCCAGTTGACTCCATGGGCAGCTAAGTACCGAGCAGCAAAAGGCACAGTGGGGGTAGATCCCAAGGTGACTTGTGGAAGGTGGCCCAAACGGTAGTACTTGTAGGACACCAATGGAAGGTGGCCCTAAGTGCATGCAGCCCGAGTACTGAAGAATATTTCTCCTGGCACGCACACTACCAGTAGAGACAGTCCACACCACAAGGCACAGAATCTGAGACAAATTGCTGGCGCCAGAGGCACAAGACCATGCCAGTAGCACATCAGCATGAGAACTGAAGGGTGGATCGCCGGCATGGAGGTATGGGGCTCCCCCTTCCCTCTCCCAGGGAGGTGGGGTTGCACAGACAGCAGTGCAGCAACATGATGACGTCATATTCATTTGTTAATTTTTGTTTGGGGGGTTCTGTCCACTCGTTTGACTTTGGGTAGCAATAGTTTCACCAGAATAAGGGTTTGTTTTGGGGCGCCTACCGTTCTTGATGCCAGATCCGGTCGATGGCAGACACAGAATGCTCCCAACCACACGGGGGCTTCTATAGGCCATTGCTCCTCGTGCCTATCTTGTGGGGACCAGGTTCTGGCTCATGGTCCCTAGTAGGCAAGACCTTCATGCACATTGACTGATGCCAGAAAGTTATACTTATTCATTCAGCTCCGGGGAGCCGACGGGGCTTCCCCCAGAAATATTAATTAAAAATACATTTTATACATAATACTACTCATATTTTTTATACACAAATTAGATATAAATATAAACCATAAATAAAACCAGCGTTGAATGTAATAACGCCATTTTCTGGGTGAGCCCCGGAGGCTCCCTGGAGCTTATCGGGCTAATGTATATTCTATTAGACCGGGACATTAGCTAAGGAGTTCAGACCTACCAGGGAGCAGCGCCAGAACCTGACCCCTTCAGAGAGGTTTCAAGGAGGAATGGCCCTGGAAAACCCCCTTGTGGTTGGGGTTTTCCTTATCTGCCATCGACCGGGGTTAGGCACACAGAAAGGTAGGCATAACAAAACAAACCCCACATGGTAAAAAACTAAAACAAAAAAACAAACAATGAGGTAGAAACTCCCTACAATCCCAAGGAAACAAGCAAACAAGCAAACATCAAACTTTACTGCCCCGCAATCATCCTCGCAGCCCTCCCAGCCCCGAGAGGGGGAGGGGGAGCCCCAAGGACCTATTGTTGCCTTGGGTTGCAGGTTGCAGCCTGTTGTCTCGACTTCGTGTTGCTGAGTTTGTGGCGGGCCGCCTCCCGGATAAGGCCTTTCTTTTCCTTCTCGCTGGGTATGAAGCTCCAGGAAGCCATAGGTGCTCCCCACAGTAAACCAGTGTTGAATGTAATGAAACGCCATTTTCTGGGTGAACCCCGGAGGCTCCCTGGCAACCCTCCCTCCCACCGGTCAGTGGTTTTTTCGCGTTGGTTGAAGCTTAGCTTCTGAACTGATGCTAGGCAGCCAACGCGGTAGGTGCGGGGCTGGGAGGGCTGCGCGGACGATTGGCGTGGCAGTAAAGTGTGATGTTTGCTTGTTTCCTTGGGATTATAGAGAGTTTCTACCTCCCTGTTCGGTTTTTTGTTTTAGTTTTTTACCATGTGGGGTTTGTTTTGTTATGCCTACCTTTCTGGGTGCCTAACCCCGGTCGATGGCAGATAAGGAAAACTCCAACCACAAGGGGGTTTTCCAGGGCCATTGCTCCCTGAAACCTCTCTGAAGGGGCCAGGTTCTGGCGCTGGTCCCTGGTAGGTCTGAACTCCTTAGCTAATGTCCCAGTCTAATATAACATACATTAGCCCGATAAGCTCCAGGGAGCCGTAGGGGCTCCCCACAGAAAATAAGTGTACTTTTAACTGCACTTTACCCTTACTGAGGAATATTGTTGGCGTATGGGAGATGGTGAGGAGGGAGGGGAGGGAGGGAGGAAGAGAGGTATTCGTATATGGTGAGGGTGAGGAGGGGGGGGGGGGAAGAAGAGAAGAAGAGAAGAAGAGGTAAAGAATTCAAGCACGGTTGGCACCTCAGCAGGACTCTGGAAAACTGAGGTGCATCTTGCCATGATGCCATGTGCTTGGTGGACCTGGATGTTTATAAATGAGTTCCAAACACCGAGACAAATAACGAGTACCGAATCAACTTTTTCGGAGAAATTTTCTACGAGTATCGCAAATAACGAGAACTGGGTCTTATGAGAACTGAGGTTTCACTGTATATGGAAGAGGTTTAATTGAACTAAATATTTAATTTCATCACCAAGCTAAGATCTGCTATCAGAACTATAAAAAATTATGTTTTCAGATAAAACACAGCTCCTCTGTTCAAATCCCTAAACTTGCTAAACATACACTCACTCCACACATTATCTTGTGCTATTAACACTTACAAAACCTTATGCATAAATTCTAATCTGATTTTAAAACTCTTCCTAAAAGGATGTAATAAATCCAATGAGCATCACACCAGAAATAAATCTCTCTTTTGATATTCCCAGAGTCAGACTAAATCTGTGCAAACCTACCATGCAAATAAAAGAACCCAGTATATGGAACACTCCATAATAAATTAAAAAAATAAATTTCAACCCGTACTTTATTCAAAAGTAGAACGAAAACATTCCTAATTTCATCTTCATTGAATCCCATCTTGTGCTGCTAACTCATGTTGTTCCCAGTTTATGATTAAAAAATAGAACTTCATCATTATAATTTATTATACAATATATAATGCAGTTATTATGTTGTACAGTATTCTAATTCTGTTATAATGTACCTATCAATACAATTATTGGTTAGCTTAGGGACTTGCCTGAAATGCTATGCATGTTAGTATTACTAGTATTGGCGATGCAAGAATGTATAAATCACTAATGTATGTACTTTCACAACCCAATGTTCCTTCTCGTACATAAATAAATAAATCAATAAATACTTCAAAATTACCTAAAATTTCTGGCTGACCATAATAGCCTGCAGCGCAACGCTCACACCGATCCCCAATGTATCCCTCTTGGCAGTCACATCTTATGGAGAACCCATCATCCAGAAAATCACAACTCTCTGCAAAGCTGGAAAAATTGGGAAGGTCTTGTATTATATCCATAAAATAACATAAAATGGAAATGTGACAATATATAGTTGGGAAAATAGCAAAAATTAAACTAAGTATGGTTCAACTGCACAAGAGGAATTGAGGAAGGTATCCAAATCTCCTGTAATGTAATACTTCACAATACAAATACAAATATTCTTTCAAATACCGATGCCCCTTTTTTCTTCCTTATATTCTTTTTGCCCATCTTATCTCTACCTACCATTTGTCTATCCTTTGTTGGTTATGGACCAATAACCCCTGGATGAACAGGGCCAACAGGGGCCAATGACCCTGTGGCCCAGTTTTTTACCACACTTTCTAGTTGGTGGTCTAGCCAACCAGGCTGTTAGACACTGCTGTAAACAGTTTAACATATGAATCACATTTATGCTCCTTATGTTTAGAAGGAGTGTTGAAAAGTCCTGGTTCTCTAACCCTCTAACTGCTCACCCAAAATTAGTTTGATTTTCTGATATATACAAAAAAATCATTGGAACTTTGAATAGCATAAATGGTTCCTAACATGGGAGTCAGTCAATGAAAGGTGATACCCCTCTGGACCAAAGGGCAGTCCCTCTAGATTGGAAATATGCAAATCTCACCCCTATTTTAAAAAAACCAGCGTTGAATGTAATGAAACGCCATTTTCTGGGTGAGACCCGGAGGCTCCCCGGAGCTATACTGGGCTGATGTGTATATATTAGACTGTGGCAACAGTCAATTGAAGGAGTTCTAGGCCTACTGGGGACCAGAGCCAGAACCTGGCCTCCTCAAGAAAGCTACAAGGAGCAATGACCTAAAGACACCCCCGTGTAATTGGAAGCAGTCTTTGTCTGCCATCTACCAGGTCAGGCACCCAGAAAGGTAGGAATTCCAAAACAAAATACTGCTGATCAAATAATTTGCAAACCAAAGGCCGAACTAGCAACAGAACTCCCCAATCAAAACCAAGGAAACAAGTACTATGATGTCACCACAAACGGCGCACATTCGTCTGCCCTCCCCCCATCCCTGGAGGGGGACAGGGGGGGGGGGGGGCAGACCTCTACGCCGGCAACTCTCCTCAGTTCAGAGGCTGAGTATCAAAAATGCGAAAAAACCACCAACCGGAGGTAGGGAGGGGAGGGATGCAGGGGAATCTCCGTGTCTCACCCAGAAAATGGCGTTTCATTACATTCAACGCTGGTTTTCTGTGAAGAGCCCCTTCGGCTCCCCGGAGCTACCAAACCAAGGATAAAGAAAAAGAGGGACTTACCCGGGAGGCGGTCGTCACTCACTCCTCAACTCGAAGTCGATTCAAATGGCTGCAATGTGCGACCCAAGGCTACACACACCCAAGAAGGCCCACTACCCTGTCAGTTTCAAAGCATTATATGACAAAGAGTGCTGGGAAGACGGGACACCATGAGCGTAGCTCTCATCCTGTAACTGCACTTAGTAATTACCTAAGTGTAATTACCTATCATAAACGAGATACCGTGCAGCCAGGAACCTGATCGACCTCCATAAGCCCCATGCCCAAATGTCAGCCCAAGATATATTCCCAAAAACAGCAGCCAAAGCTGCGAACTTACGAACGTCATGGGCACGGGGATAGACCACAGGCTGGCTGGACCGAATAATCCTAGGGACGACCTGGGAGACCCGCGCCTTAGAACAGGGACGAAGGGAAACTGGGTCCAGCCAAAGCGTGTCCCCCTGCCACGGAGGCCATGAAGCGCAGCAGATACCGGCAAAGAGCTGCAACTGGACACAAAACATGATGCACCCCTGGCCAAACCAACCAAGCATCAACAACCCAAGGACCCCTCCGGAAAGCAGCAGACTGATTTTTCACAAGAAGGAGAAGGATGCAAACGAACGAAATAACCACCAGAACCGAAAGAGCAGAAACCCCTGCGCCGGAGGAGAGCATGAAGCTCCCCGACCTGACCCCCAGAGGCCAATGCCAACAAGAAAAGAGCCTTATAAAAACAGTCCTGAACTGAGGGGGCCGCCACAAACTGAGGAGAAGAGAGAAAAGAGAGCACTTGGTCCAACGACCAGGACGGCTCAGGCGACGCATGAGCAGGCCAGAGGTGAAACAATGCCCGAGAAAGCTTGCAGAATGGAGCAGAAATGACATCCACCCCGAAAGCAAGCTGCAGCGGCTCTTCCAGCCCCGCACGAAATGAGACGACAATATTTGACACAAGATGAAGGTCCTGAAACAACTAGAAGCGGAAGGACAAAACAACCCGATCAGAAATCGAAGACAACGTACGAAGAGACAAAAATTGTTGAAAGGATCCCCAGGAAATTTCATACTGCCATCTAGACGAAACTCGCAGGTGGGACACCATCAACTAAGCCACCTGATCACCATACAAGTGGTGATACACTCGCGTCATAAAGACCAGACACGAAGAGTGGAGGAGAAGATCGAACCAGCCACATAACAGTCCGGACCGATCTGCTGAAAGAGGCGGAGCCGTGGGAAGACCCTCGGATTCGGACATCGAGCAAGAAGCGCCTGAAACCAAGGCTGGCCTGGCCACCAAGGAGCCAATAGGACTACTCTCCCTTGGCAAGTCTCCAACCGAGCTAGGATCTGGAGCAACAACCGGATCGGAGGGAAGAGGTACAGGTAACTCCGCCTCGACCAGTCCAGCCGAAAGGCATCGACCAGTCCAACCGAAAGGCGTCGACCAGTCCAGCCAAAAAGCATTGACCCTGATGGCCTCGCAGTCTGGGAAGGGCGCCACATAAACTGGAAGACGCCTCGACCACGCCGATGCGAATAGGTCCACCTTTGGGCGCCCGTACGTCTGGCAGAGCCAACTGAACAAGTCGGCATCGAGCATCCATTCCTTGGAAAGGGGAATGAACCAAAACAGGCTGTCCGCCAGGACGTTTGACACCCCCCTGAACATGTACCGCCAGGAGAGCCAAACACCGAGAACTCAGCAGACGAGTTACCTGAAGCGACCAGCCCCAAAAAACCATGGACCCCATCAAACTCCTGCGGTTCAGACAATGAATTACCAGGGAGCAGTCCGAATGGAGTCGGATCGTTGCTCCTCAAGCGACCCAAATCCTCTGAAGTGAATGCCACACCGCAGCAAACTCCTGCGCCTTGCTGTGAGCTCGACGGAAGGACAGACCCCCACTGACCTTGGCCGGCCTGGTGAGCACTTGTCACAAAACCCCAGCCGAGAGACGAGGCATCCGTAAACACACCGAGCGAGCGCTCGGGGAGGCACCATGGCTCAGAACCCTGAGAAACCCACAGAGGAAGCTGGCGACGCAGCAGCCGATGCAAGGCTCCCGGGATTATAACCATTAGATCAACACTAGAACTGTGAACTTAAGCCCCAGCAGATGGTGAGCTACTTCCTCCTTCCCTCCAAGATAGTGGGGAGGTGGGGCAAATGAATTTACATAAGTTCTGAGATAATTCAGTCATTTGCTTACATAGTTGGAGGATTTTTTCAATGAGTTTCAAGGCTTTGGTCTCTATTAAAGCCAGCAGTGGACTTTTTGACTCAATGACTTTCTGGTTGCCTTCCCCAGGAAGGTGGTGAAACTAAATTTTATTGCTCCTTGCATTTCTGTAGGGTGGGGGTGGGGGGGGGGTCGGTCCTGGCCCCCAGTAGACCTATAAAACTATGGCTGATGCAGCCACTATATGGTGAGTAGATGGTACCTACTCACCATATAGTGGCCTCCGGAAACCACACAAGACTTACCCTAGAAAAAGTTTCTATAGAGAACATATTACCAAGGAATATTGTAACCAATACACCATTGATCATCTAATTGCCTTGTACACCAGGAGATGATCCTGGGTGGTGGAGGTTCGAATCCTGGTCAGGTCAAAAGGAGTTCTTAGTGATTTATGGCTCATGCATTCATGCAGCCTGTGTCATGATAGACCTATTTATCAACCTCTCCATTTATATCTCGATAGCATTCCAGAACTTTAGCCAGACTCACTTATTAGTAATTGATGGCATTGGACAGGCACAGATAAGACAGTCATATGGAGTTCCCTGTGTGGCCTTTCCATGGTATCCTGGTGCACACATTTCACAATGGTCACCAACTGTATTGTGAAGGCAGTTCTGCGAGCAAAAATATTTATTAATAAACCATTTAATGTTCATATGTTATTAATATATACTTATTAAATAATAAATTATTTGATTCAATTACAATTTCTACAAAACATTGCCAGAGCTTAAAAACCTAACATAGAGTTTTAAATATTCATATTTGGTCTAGATACAAATGAAAATAAAAGATAATGGTGCCTTTGTGGAAGCCAAGATCTGACACATTAGTTATGAGTTCTGATAATGCTGTTTACTTTTGAAAACCTTCTTCTTTTATAGCAGTCTTGCACAATAATCTTCTGAAGTCTTTGAACTTACTGATCACACCTAATATAAAAATTAAATTACAATAAGTAAAAAAAAAAAACTGAAAAGCCACAACAAAATAAAATAGGAACATATACTTAAATATAAATTTACATTCCTATACTTGCACAAAATACAAACTTCACAAATTAAACACTAATTATATAAAAACACATTGTAATGATGTTTCCCTACATTGAACCTAAATGCCCCAGATACTTACCAAGCATTTGCCAGTCTGTTTATCACACACATCAGCATGACCATTGCATTGACACGGGACACAGTATCCCCCAAAGGGTCCTCGCTCAGCACGGTAATATCCTTGGGCACAGTCTTCACACGATGAACCTAAAAAAATTATTACAGTATTGTATGTTCATTTATTCTAAATATTAACAAAAACCAGCATTTATTTATTTATTTATTTATTTATTTATTTATTTATTTATATATAGCATTGAATGGAATGAAACGCCATTTTCTGGGTGAGCCCCGGAGGCTCCCTGGAGCTTATCAGGCTAATGTACGTTATATTAGACCGGGACATTAGCTATGTAGTTCAGACCTACCAGGGACCAGCGCCAGAACCTGGCCCCTTCAGAGAGGTTTCAGGGAGCAATGGCCCTGGAAAACCCCCTTGTGGTTGGGGTTATCCTTATCTGCCATCGACCGAGGTTAGGCACCTAGCAATGTAGGCATAACAAAACAAATTCCACATGGCAAAACACTAAAACAGAAAACAGAAATGAGAGGTAGAAACTCCCAACAATCCCAAGGAAACAAGCAAACAAGCAAACATCGCAAATGTGGAGCGCAAACCACCACATTTGCTGGCGGAGATACAACACAGAAAGGCAAAGCACAGCCCCCAGACAGAGCCCCCAGGGAAATGGTCAACACAGACCAAAAACCGAGAGACAAGGTGTGGGAGCAAGCATAACAGACAGGGACACTGAGCCCAAACCCTAGGGCCCAGACCCAAAACAATTTGGATCTGGGCCCAAATTGCGCATCCCATCATATGATGGGATGCGCAATTTATAGCAAGTCACTCAACCCATCATATGATGTGTTGTGTAACTTAAGGGTTAAGGAAAGCAGTCCTAAGTTCATACAGTCCTAGTACACTATGTTACTCGGGGCCACTGCACCACATACAGCAGGAAAACCTCCACAGGTGCAGAGAGTTGACAGCCACCCCAGAGCGCTTCAGCCTACAAACTGAGGTGTTGGGCAACCGGCGTAAGGGTCTAGGGCTTCCCCCTCTCCCTCCTGAGGGGAAGGGGGAGAGCTGCACAGACAAACGACGTGGCGGTGGTGGATGACGTTTGCTTGTTTGTTTGTTTCCTTTTCTTTGGAGAGTTCTGCTTCTCTGTTCAGTCTTGGGTTTTTAGCAATTTCCTACGAAGTGGGATTTGTTTTGAGATGCCTACCTTTCTGGGGTGCCATCGACCGGTGCCTGACACCGGTCGATGGCAGATATGGGATAACCCCGCAAATACAAGGAGTCTTCCTTGGGCCATTGCTCCCTGCACCTCTCTGAGAGGGCCAGGTTCTGGTTCATGTAGTAGGCAGAACTGAACCTGGTAGGCAGAACTTCATTGAATGAAGCCCCAGACTAATATAGCGTATATCAGTTCGATAGCAGCAGGGAGCTGACGGGGCTCCCCACAGAAAGCTTAATGTAACGGTCAGCTACAGCTTCATCTGGGTGAGTTTTTTCAACAAAACTTTGCAGTTCTTTCCATACTGCATATATTTTCTTAATGACAAAGAGACAATTTCTACTGCCTCTACTCACAACTATTTTCTTAGATTGAACATTACCACTGACTTTCTTGGGACCCATGGCATGATATATAATAATTACTTTTATGTTCAAAAAACAAAAAATGTAGAAAAACAATGAACTTCTTCACAAAAAGTTCAAGCACGGTCGTCACTAGGCGGGAGAAGAACCACACTCACGTCGACCCATATCAACAAACTCGAGAACCGAGACAAACCTCGAATGCCGAGTTAAATTTTACGAAGAAATTGAGCTCGTATTCTGAAAAATTCATAAAGAGGGGCATTCGTCAACCGAGGTTCCTCTGTGTCAGGCTGAAGGTCAGTGGCTGTGTGTCAGAAGATGGATGATGATACCAATCTTGGTTAGGAAGGCTTACCCACACATGGGACATATGTGGGTGGGTGCTACTGCAGAGGTGGAGGTTGCTCTAGCGTTGCATGTGGCACATTTCCTCTGGGCCTCTGCAGTCCATATACTATCTGCTGCACAGGCCCCTGTGATAACTTTGCTTCTCCATGTTCGATGGTCCGAAGCACATGACTCCCATGTGCTGGGGTTGATGTCCAGAACCTTGAGGCAGTATTGAATCATTTCTTCTGCTCCTCAGCTGAACACATGCTCTGACATAATTCTCCATACAACAGATGTTCTGGTATTTGGCTGTCAGGCATTCTGACGGCATTCTGACAACATGGCCTACACATGTTGATAGGATAAAATGATAAGATGAATTATGAAAACATTCAAATCCAAAGATCCCACAGTAATGCTAATACTATTTAAATCACTGGTGCTGTCCTGTCTGCGCAGTATTCATTTCTCCTTTCAGAGTAGGAGAGCTCTCTGAATTAGAGGGAATACAGAGAACTTATATGACACACATAGAAACAATAAAACATCTGAATTATTGGACCATCTCAAAGCTCTCAAAATGTACTCTCTCTTGATAGGAGACGAGAAAGGTATCAAATAATATAGACATGGAAGAAACTGGAAGGCAAAGTCCCTAATTTGCACAGTCGAATAACAAAATACTGGAGCAAAAGATACAGAAGGAAATGCAGAGTAGAACCAGTGAAGAGTAGAGGTGCCAAAGGCATAATCAGAGAACACTGTCTAAACATCAGGGTCCACAGCTGTTCAGTACCCTCCCAGCAAGCATTATAAATATTTCCGGAAGAAAGGTGGATGTCTTCAAGAGGAACCTAAAGACAAGTTCTTACAAGATGTGCTGGACCAGCCAGACTATAGTGGATTTTTACCTGATTTTACATGATTTACCTGAGGAGCACTAATCCTTGTGGCCTCAACAAGGACAGGAAGATGGCAGTTTGTCAAAGGTCCCCCCATTTGCCTGATGGTCTTTTCCCAGGTATATTTTAAAATTCATCAGGGTTTTGGCAGTTATGGCTTGGGCGGGTAGTCAGTTCCATGGGTTAATAACCCTGCAGGTGAAGAAGCATCTTCTGTTCTCAGTTCTACATTGTGGCTTGGTGAGCTTGAAACCGTTACCCCTTGTTTGTGTTACATCTGACCATCTGAAGAAAATATCCAGATCAACATCTTCTAACTTGTTCAATATTTTGAAAGTTTCAATGAGATCCTCCCTGTCATGCCTGGTTTGCAGTGTTGTTAGCCCTGTGGCCTTCAAACATTCCTGATACAAGAGATGACGTAGCTCTGGAATGACTTTTGTTGCCCAATATTGTACCTTCTCCAGAGCAGCTATGTCCTTCTGAAAGCAAGGTCTCCATACTTAGATACAGTTACTTGAGTGGAGGCACACCAGAGATTTATACAGTTGAACAAAATTCAAATTCAAATTCAAAATCTTTATTCAGGAAAAGTACATACATAGTTGATTTACAAACATAAAGGTGGATTTATAGATAGAGCTAGTACATACAATACTTAAAGCCACTAATACGCATAGCGTTTCGGGTAACATTACCTTCGAACCATTACCTCCTTTTCCTTATAGTCAAAAGTACACTTGATTATCCCAAAAGTTTGGTTAGTTTTTCTGACTGTTGCACCTACCTGTTGTGCAACTTTTAATGAGTGGTGGATTATGACTCCAAGGTCCCTTTCTTCATCAATCTGCTGTAATGTAATGCTATTAATTTGATAGTCGTGGCATGGGTTGTTATGCCCCACATTCATGGTCTGGCATTTGTCGATACTGAAAAGCATTTGTCAGTCTTCTGACCAATTGTGAAGTTCATGTAGACCTCTTTGTAAGGCTTCAATATCATTATCATTGCCCACTTTACCATAAATCTTTGTGTCATCTTCAAATTTGATGATGTGCTTTGTAATATTCTCATCTATGTCATTGATGTGTATGACAAAAAGAGTGGATCCCAAAATGAACCATTGTGGCACCCCATTATCACATTTCTCTATTCAGATTCATTTCCATTTAGCACGACCCTTTGCTTTCTTTCCTTCATCCATTGATTTATCCATTTAATATTTTACCATTTATTCCATGGGCCTGTAATTTCCTTGCCAGTCTTTCATGTGGTACCTTATCAAAAGCGAAATCCATGCATACTACATCCACCGGAAGGCCTTTGTCCGAGTAGCTGGTTACCTTTTCCAAAAATGTGAGCAAATTTGCAAGGAAAGATCTGTTTTTAAGAAATCCTTGTTGTGTCAATTGTACAACGCTGTTCACTGAAAGATGGTGAATGACTTCCTCCCTGAGGATTCTCACCGCAAGCTTGCAGATGTGAGAGGTCAAGCTATCGGCTGGTAGTTTTCTGTTGAGCTCATTCTGCCTTTTTAGAAGACAGGGGGTGAGATTTGCATATTTCCAATCTCGGTGGACTGTCCTTTGGTCAGAGATTTTGTGAAATGTAATTTCAGCAACATGCATAGTTCTTCTTCCAGTTCCTTCAAGACTTTGATTGGATTCCATCCACTTCTGGGGCTTTTGAGTCTTTTAGTTTGTCAATGTTCTTTCAAATTATTTTGCGTGTTATGGGTATATCCATAAATTCATTCTCTTCCTCTCCTTCAAACATTTGTGTGGGTGATGGGATATCATCCAACCTTTCAAGTGTGAACACTGATGTAAAATAATTATTCAGTGTTTGCTGCCCTTTTATCATCCATTATAGCTTGGTTTGTCTCATCTATTAAGGGTCCAACTGAGTCCTTTATTTTGGTTTTACCTCTTATATAAGCATAGAACAATTCTGAATCTTTCTTTATGTTTTTGGCAACTTTTCTTTCATAGTTTCTTTTGGCTGATCTGATTTTGTGAATGGTTGAGCTTAATGCCCTTTTGTATAACTCATAATCAATGATGTCTATCGTGGATTTATAGGTTCTCCAGAGATTCCTCTTAGTTACCAATGCTCATATTAAGACCTGTGTCATCTATCTAATTTCCTTTCATGTCTTTCTTCTTTATGGCACACATTTATGAACGAGTTCTGTGAAGACCCTCTTGAAATTTTGTCATAATGATTCCGTGCCATGTTTGCCCATCAGCTCCCTCCAGATGATGGTTTACTGTTCCTCTCTTATTCCTTGATAGTCATCTTGCTGGTGATCTAGAAATTCATAATTCATTTTGCACTTTGGGCGAGCGAGCGCCAGACCCCAAGATGGGCCGGGCATTCCATGTGAACACGCGGTAATACTTTAAAGTGTATACTCTATTCAATTTTGTCACCTCAACCCTCGACTTAGTTTTTTTTATTTTACTATCAATGTGTTCACAATAGAATTTCATACAGGAGTATATGCATATAAAGACCAAAAGCCTTGCATACCACCCGCCCCAAACCAAGAAATTGGTCGCATGTTACCCGGGAACACGCAAGAGCAATAAAATGTGTATACTCTTTTCACTTTGGTCACTTCAATTCTAGTCCTAGGTCTTTCATTTTGGTATCAATGTGTTTGCAATAGAATTCCCTACAGGAGTATATGAATATAATGTTCAAAAGCCCAACGTGCCACCCGCACGAAACCGAGAAATTGGCTGTGCGTTACCTGTGAGCGCGCAAGAGCAATAAAATGTATATTCTCTGTTTATTCTGGTCACCTCAATTCTTATCCTAGGTCTTTCATTTTGATATCAATGTGTTTGCAATGGAATTCCTTACAGAAGTATATGCATGTAATGTCCAAAACCGAGGTGTGCACCACCCGCAGCCAAGCCGAAAGCAGGCCAAATTTTCTCATTTTTGACGCACCAATGCATCATTCCCGCACATTTGTCTAATAAATTTTTTATGCCATACTGCATCGTCCCAGAGTGTAGGTGTTAATGTTTAAATATTTGTAGTCCATCTTAAAATATGGTGGTCACATGAGAGGGTTAGCCTTTTCCCCACATTAATTTGATCAATCTTGAAATTGATATGTGGGCCTGAGGGCCACACCAAGCAATAGCCTGTTGGATAAAGTTATCGCACATAGAGCCTGGCCCCAGGTCATGCTCAGGGAGTAGAATAACTCTCAAAACCCTCTCCAGGTATGTTCAGGTATCTACCCAGCGATAATCACATGACTGGCAGTTACCTTTCCTCTTGTCTACGTGAACTTAATTTTATTATCCTATTACACCTACACATTTTGTTAATTACAAAGGCTTAAGAAAGATACATTTCTAAGGATAACATACCTTCATAATTAACTGGACACTGGCAGCGTTCCACCGAGTGTGCTGGCCTTGAGCTTGGGCCAGCCCAATTATCCGTAGGAATATCAATGCTTGTATTAAACAACCTGTGGGGGAAAATCATTTACTGTAATTATATTATATTATATTATATTATATTATATATATATTATATGACAATGTCAGACCACGGAGGAAAAATGAAACAGGAAATTTCCTTAAGTACTTTCGTATATTAAATACATCTTCAGAAGGTCATTTTACAGATCGAGTGATGGGTATAAATAGGCAGGAAGGAGTGGTGAAGTAAGGTGAGGTACAATACTTGGACAACGCAGACGGCCCATTGGCCCATCAGATGCACCCAATTGGCACATCCGATGTAGCCCAATGGCCCATCTGATACAGCAGACATACAAGCATAATATATAGGTAATTATAACATAAAGAAGTAAATATATACAATAAATTAGTGAGACAAATGTTTTTCAATGATTCTACTTAAATCGCCCTTTAGCTGATCTATTAGAAATGGATCTAAGTTATATAGACCACTGCTAATATTCAAATTACTTTCTTTGGTGATCTGTATCAAAGCAGATTCAATTATGTTTCTGTTATAGGTGCTTTTACAATTTGTTATTGAAGAAGCACTCTCCCAATCAATTTGATGAGATTTTTCTGACAAATGCACAAACAAAGCATTAGACAATTGGCCATGTCTTACAGAGTATTTATGTTGCGATATTCTACATTTTAAATCTTTAGATGTTTGCCCGACATAGAACTTGTTACATTCCTTACAAGGTATTTTATAAATGACGCAATTATCACTATGAGGGCTGTTCCTTACTAATAGCTTACCAACAGTGTTTTCGTAGCTAAACATTACATCTATATTAAAAAGTTTCAAGGCCTTGACAATATTCTCAAACCCAGAGAAATATGGTAAACATAACACATTCTTTGGGCGAATCCTTTCACTGCATACATTATTATAATATGTACGACGAGCTTTGTTACGACAAACTTCCAAAAAATTCAGTGGGTATCAAAGCTTAAGACCAATCGAATCAATATTCTTAAATTCTTCATCTAAGAATTCTGGACTCACAACTCGAAGAGCTCTTAGATACATTGAAGAAAAAATTGACTTTTTTACATTGTATTTATGCCCTGAAAAATAATGAACATAAGATAAATTGTTCGTAGGTTTTCTGTAAACACTAAACTTTAATGAAGAGTTTTCCCTATGAATAAGCACATCAAAGTTTAGTGTTTACAGAAAACCTACGAACAATTTATCTTATGTTCATTATTTTTCAGGGCATAAATACAATGTAAAAAAGTCAATTTTTTCTTCAATGTATCTAAGAGCTCTTCGAGTTGTGAGTCCAGAATTCTTAGATGAAGAATTTAAGAATATTGATTCGATTGGTCTTAAGCTTTGTTACCCACTGAATTTTTTGGAAGTTTGTCGTAACAAAGCTCGTCGTACATATTATAATAATGTATGCAGTGAAAGGATTCGCCCAAAGAATGTGTTATGTTTACCATATTTCTCTGGGTTTGAGAATATTGTCAAGGCCTTGAAACTTTTTAATATAGATGTAATGTTTAGCTACGAAAACACTGTTGGTAAGCTATTAGTAAGGAACAGCCCTCGTAGTGATAATTGCGTCATTTATAAAATACCTTGTAAGGAATGTAACAAGTTCTATGTCGGGCAAACATCTAAAGATTTAAAATGTAGAATATCGCAACATAAATACTCTGTAAGACATGGCCAATTGTCTAATGCTTTGTTTGTGCATTTGTCAGAAAAATCTCATCAAATTGATTGGGAGAGTGCTTCTTCAATAACAAATTGTAAAAGCACCTATAACAGAAACATAATTGAATCTGCTTTGATACAGATCACCAAAGAAAGTAATTTGAATATTAGCAGTGGTCTATATAACTTAGATCCATTTCTAATAGATCAGCTAAAGGGCGATTTAAGTAGAATCATTGAAAAACATTTGTCTCACTAATTTATTGTATATATTTACTTCTTTATGTTATAATTACCTATATATTATGCTTGTATGTCTGCTGTATCAGATGGGCCATTGGGCTACATCGGATGTGCCAATTGGGTGCATCTGATGGGCCAATGGGCCGTCTGCGTTGTCCAAGTATTGTACCTCACCTTACTTCACCACTCCTTCCTGCCTATTTATACCCATCACTCGATCTGTAAAATGACCTTCTGAAGATGTATTTAATATACGAAAGTACTTAAGGAAATTTCCTGTTTCATTTTCCTCCGTGGTCTGACATTGTCACATTCTTAATCACGTGTTTATTTTCGTGATATACACACATATATATATTATATATATATATATATATATATATATATATATATATATATATATATATATATATATATATATATATATATATATATATATATATATATATATATATATATATATATATATATATATATATATATATATATATATATATATATATATATATATATATATATATATATATATATATATATATATATATATATATATATATATATATATATATATATATATATATATATATCATGTCATTCATGCCATCATGTCATATCATGTCATATCATGTCATATCATGTCATATCATGCCATCATGTCCTTTCCACCAGGCTCAGCAGGGGGATACACTGGAGTAAGACCTCAGCACCTCAAGGAGATGACAAACCCAGTTCTCGGCGAAGTTGCCAAGACACTACTATCAGAGATCACGAAGTTTGTCAACGACTGTCTCACTGGGTTGATCCCAGATGCAATTAAACCCTTCTTCTTCGGAGCATCCCTTTGTGCCCTTAAGATGGTGGAGTCAGACCCATTGTCGTGGGTAACACACTTCGGCGCCTTGTTGCTAGGGCAGCTGTCAGAAAAATCAGCATAGACGCTGCAACGATGCTTCAACCCCATCAACTAGGTTTTGGTGTCCCCCATAGCTGTGAAGCAGCAGCTCATGCAGCACGAGCCTATATCAAGGACCTCCCAGAAAATAAGGCATTAATTAAATTAGACTTTATAAATGCCTTCAACCAGGTAAAAAGGGATGTGGTACTGGAAGCAGTTCGAACCAGCTTTCCTTGTCTATTTCCTTACATTTCAGCAGGGTACAGTAGGGAATCGACACTGTTGTTTGGGGAACATGAAGTTGTTTCCGCAGAAGGTGTCCAGCAGGGAGACCCACTTGCCCCTTTTCTTTTCTGCATGGCAGCTAAGGAGGTCACAAGCAGGTTGTCCAGCGAATTCAACATCTGGTTCCTAGACGATGGCACCCTGGCAGGGACACAGGAATCCCTGCTAGGAGATCTTCAGCTAGTGAAATCTAGGGAAGAGGAATTAGGCCTTACACTAAATCCATCAAAGTGTGAAATCATCTCATCCAGCCAACCAATCATAGATGCAGTATGAATCTTATTGCCAGGAGCCCAAGTGATCGCTCTCACCGACAGTGTGCTGCTAGGGACACCTCTGGGCTTGAACGCCATTGAGGTAGTCCTCGAAGAAAAGCTTAAAGACCTGAGGAGGATGGAGGCGCGAATAGGGGCATTGGATGCTCACGATGCTTTGTACCTTCTTACAAGGTGCCTGGCCTTGTCCAGACTTACCTATTTCCTCAGGTGTACTCCTTCCTTTGACAGCCCAAAATTAACGGAATACGACTCACTCCTAAAGACAATAACTATTTAAGTGTTAAACCTCTCCCTGCAAGATGACCAGTGGGACCAAGCAACGCTCCCAGTTAGACTCGGGGTATAGGTATTCGCAAGGCGACACAGTTAGCATTGCCGGCATTCTTATCCTCGACCAGTGCTACGAGTGAATTAGTGAATGAAATACTACCAGAATACCTAAGGAACTCCACTGGGATTCGTGATCCCAAATTTGTGGAAGGAGCTGGTCAGTGGGACACTCTTGCCAATTCACACACCTGACCAACTTTTCCAAAAGACAGTAAACAGGCCAAATGGGATAGCCCCATAGTGGAGAACATTGCCAAAGCATTGCTGGACGCAGCTTCTAAGAAGGACAGAGCGCGTCTCCTAGCTGTGCAAGCCCCATGATGGGGACTTCCTGTTGGCAGTCCCTAATTCCGCCTTGGGCACCCGCCTGGACCATCAGGCCCTAAGTATTAGTGTTGCTCTGCGCCTTGCTGCCCTATCTCCACCGATCACCGGTGTGTTTGCGGCCATGCACGGGCAGACCAATACGGCAGCCATGGTCTCATCTGTCGTAAGACACAGGGAAAGATTGCCAGACACGAAGCAGTCAATGACATCATCAAGAGAAGTTTGGCTACAGCTGGGTGTCCAACACAAAGGGAACCCCAGTTGTGCAGACCTGACAACAGCCAAAAACGACCAGATGGAGTCACCCTGCAACCATGGAGGGAAGGTAAACAGGTCATATAGGATTACACCTGTGCATCTACAGTGGCTGATATCTATTTACGTTACAGCTCAGCGGAGGGAGGTGGGGCAGCCACCTTCAGGGAGACCCAGAAAATCCACAAGTACAGAGACCTAGAACATTGTTACAGGTTCGTGCCGATAGGCTCCGAGACTCTGGGCGCCTGGGGTAAATGTGCACTCAAGTTTTTAAAGGAGGTTGGTGAGGAACTCACTGGGAAAACTAGAGACCCACGAGCGGCCAGTTTCCTGTTCCAGCGCCTCAGTGTCGCAGTTCAGAGGGGAAATGCGTGCTGTATTCTAGGTACGCACCCAACCTCCGAGGAGCTGGACGAGGTCTTCGAACGCTGATTGTTTAATTGTTATGTATTTGTGTGTGCTTGTGTTCTCTGTAAACTGTAGCATTGCAATAAAATAAAACAAAACATACAAAAAAATAATAGGGGTGGTAGGAGAAGAAAAGAATAAAGTATTCAGTGAGAATCCACAAGATCTTCTCTGAATGCTCTTTGTATTCTTCTTCGAGGATGTGGGTCCCTGCAATTGCACCAGAGGTGGTACCCCTAATAAATAAATAAATAAATAAAATAAAATATATATATATATATATATATATATATATATATATATATATAT